CCCCAAAACCCCAAAACCCCAAAACCCCAAAACCCCTATTTCCCCCAATTTTGCTGAATCATATTAAATTCATCTAAAAACTATGGAAAAAGAGAACTTGAAGAGGTCAATAAATTCATACGAAGCTTAGGAATTCCCTTCTACAAGTAAGTCTTAAGATACACCTCCAGTGGTCTATCTGCCTCTTTATTGGCACATTACGAGTCTTATAGACGAGAGCTAGCTACAGGAGATTTAGACAACTCGTGGGCCATTCTACTCACCTTAAAACCTGGAGGCATTATCACTAAATTCCGGACCAAGATCGAGCAGAAGGTAGATGAGCCTACCTAAAATTTTAGCTGTTTAGAAAATTTGCTATCATCAATGCCTTCAGACGAGGAGTGGGTTGAAATCCTCATGTTTAGATCATCGTCAAGAAGAACCAGAAATAATCGAGAATCTACAGTATAGGCCTTCCTTGTCTTATAATCAACTCAACAGAAAAGAGTTTGGGCAAGATTCTTGGAGAAGATAAGCTAAAAACAGACTTAATTTTTGAAAAATCTGAGTACCAAAACATTGAATATTTTTACTTCAGTACTACTCCTGTTAAACTTTCTAGAGAATGGAATGACAATTGAGTGAGGAATATCACAACTGTTAGTGATAATCTTAAAGAATACTAACCCTAGAGTGAATTAATATGTCCATCTCTACTTTTCACTAGCACTTTATAGCGAAGATGTCAAGGCCAATATGGTAGAAGTAGCCAATTTCTTCAGTGGTTTCACAAGCTTTGATGATATTACCTCCAAACTAGCTACGGTTCAGGAGCATATAGTAGTGTCTATAGCCATCTTTCAAGCCTCTGGAGGCAAATACTCACTGAAGAAAGGTATGCACAAATTTCATAATTTTTAGTGGCTTTCCAAGACCTAGCTGATGCTGTTAAACCAGAGCTAAGTGACCTCGAAATTGAAATAGACTCTAAAGAAGTATATTGTCTCTATCAATCTATAGGAATTCCCTTGCCAAGATCCCTTCAACCCGATATGCACATTTACCCAGGTCAAGCTACATGTGCAAGCCTGCTTGCTCCTAAATTTAGCTGTAATACTTACGTAATGGTCAGAGAAAGCTTACAAGAAATTATTCCCAACACCATTATTTCTAGTCAGCATATATGCTCTCATCCTGGAAGATTTAGTCAAAGAACATGCTCCTTCTTCGATCACTGTACAGAGATCGACGAGAAGTTCTTCGAAGGGGTATAATAACAAGGTAAGCTATATCTATATCCTTGGCCTAACCTATTCATAGTTCCAGGGACATTTCTACTCAAATCCTTCATGCTCTCGAACCAAGTATAAGTTCTTCCTAAATTTCCCAAACTTCACTTAAGTGAAATGTTGAGTTTCCTTAAGGAATAACTCAACTAAATTCTGATTTTATAGACTGAAAATACTGATTCTCCACAGATTGTAAAATGTGGAGTAATATCTGTATAACTCAAAGGAAATTCCTATTAGCAATCGAAGAATTATAAAAGTCATTCAATAAATTTCTGTATCAATCTGTTGTAAATAGCTTAATCCTTGGAAAACTAGGAGATTTAGGACAGATTTTATACTGAATAGTACTTCCAAGCTGACGAGATAATATGGCTTATTTAAAAATGAAGTGGCATGAGCCTTGCGATGTATAAAATGCTTATAATCCTATTAAGAATTTGTTAATAACAATATTTATAAAAAATATTGGGGTTTTGGGGTTTTGGGGTTTTGGGG